AGATTTTTTTAATTTCAGTATTACTATTACTCATACAGTAAAACCTGTCTAATCCAAATGCCACTGTGCAGTTAAAAACATTCAGATTGGGAGGTGTTCGTTATCACAATAGATTATAATTATATCATTGATAATTTAGAGTTTATTCAAAGATGGCAGCAGCATTCTCAGAACAAAACAATCAGAATCTCATTAATCTTTTGTTCACGTTAGTTATTTAAACTTTAGTTATTTAAACTTTATATTCATATATAGATGGCAGTTCTTAAATATATGATAGACACCAATAATTCAACATCATAATTTAACCTTTTCCATTAAATATACCCTGTATCAAGCACAGAAACGTATTTACACCCTTTACTAAAATGGCAACCCCTGTATCACGCACTTGTACTATAAAAAAAAAATCAATTCATCCAACTGATGAAAACAAAAAATGCTATCCTCCTAAAGAAGTTATCACTATTAATTATTGAAGCAGCCAATATTAAACTATTGTAAACATACTATGTACACAATGGGCCAGAGGCCTTATATGAAATAAAATCTTATTATTATTATTAATAAACATGATCCTTTAAAGTGAGTCATGATCCTTTAAAGTGAGTCATAACATAAACAAGTTGATTATTTCAAAGTGTTAATGATCAGTATAAGTTCAATGAACTTACAAAAGGTATATATATATGTAGATGATAAACGTATACAGTTGGATCTCCGTATAAAGCTTTACCTACATGTGTGTGGAACAACTGACCGCAAGCATTTTTTAAATTAATTGGCTGAGTAGGAACAGTATCCAATCACATACTTTAACCATCAATTTGAAACACCAATCAAACCAGTAGGTTCTAGCAATTCCCGGAAACGACCCATTCAGTAGCTCGACAAATGACATACAGGGTGTTTCATAACGAGCATCTCCAAAAAGTAAATTTGAGAAGAGATAGGTCTATAACATATGTACTATATATGAGCCTATTTTATTCTAGACCAACACATTTGGATCAACTAAACATGCTACAATTCAAGAAAGTACAAATAGCATCCCTTTGACCTTTATTTATTACAGTCCGAGAAGATCTTTCCTGACGAAAAGCCCACAATTTGAAACACCTTGTACGTTTACTTATAAATACGTTATAAGTTGTACTTTCACGCCATGCGAAATCTCTCTAATAAGGCAAAATGCTGCGAAATCAAATCATTGCTGTAGTGAACACCTACCGACAGTGAACATTTTTTCTTGGCAAAAAATTGTTCACTATACGCAGGTTTTACTGTATATGTCAGCATTAAACTCTTACTGTTTTTGAGAAATTCAATGTATCATTTTTCAACTTGTTTAAAGGACAATGCTCGGTTTGGGGAATGAAGTTCATCAGCTTATTTCAACGTTATCAATTTCGCCAACAATTTTGATTTTTTACATAGTGTATTATTAAGACAGATGGCTATTGACGACGGCGGCAGTTCGCTAATATTTGTTTTATGAAAGAAATTTTGTTTTGTGATTGAAAATTGTTTAAAAGTAAATTAGTAACTTAACTCATGTAATTTGCACAAAGGAGTTTTTCTGTACAAAGTAAATCCTTTCTGAACATAATGCGGTTACAATTCAATAAGTGACCATGGGGCTGTGAGTCCTTTATTATTATCATAAAATAATGTAGTACATGATTTTGTAACAATACTGGGGCTGAGACTGAAAAAATACTGGGTTCGGCTCCCGCCCACCCAATATTTATTTCTTATAGGTATTCTGCCGTATCCAGCTTCTGATCATCCAGTATTTGTTTTATTATGCACCTTTTCAAGCGATCTTTTGAGTGTACTGTTACATTCACGGATCCATAACCAGATCCAGTCCATTTGTGGTCATGGTGGTAGGCTCAATTAATAATAGAGAGGTTAAGCAAGACAATTTTTTATGACGCGAACCGCAAATGTATGAACAAAAGTGCTTGAAGCTGAACACTTTAGAAAACGCAAACCTCAAAATGATTTTTTTTCTTTTCCAAGCGGCCTTTCATTTTATTTTGTTCTTTAAAAGTATAAAAAATATTACTTTTTGACAAATTGATGAAAGTGTTTAACAGAGGAGATGTTTCACAGCTTGGCAGTGTTCTATGGCATCTTGAATCTTACAAAATACAACAGGACGCAGTAATATCTTTAATGTCTTTAAAGCATTCATAATTTTATTACTATGGTGTCACAATATGTATAGTAGAATTAAGATGAGTTGACATGTGGGGGATTGCCATGCATGTAATCTCATCAGATTTTACATATGAAATGGGTGCCTCAATATTCAAGCTATATTTGATTAGATTGGACACAAATGATCTCGATATATACACAGATTTGTGTTAAACATATTCATGCATTCGACCTATATCATATTTATCTCGATCGACCTTGATAAAGTACTAAAAATCCTTTACAGAACGACCTACCTAGACTTTGATTTTTCACGTTTGGATGTACGTAAACCGGGAAATAAGTAAAACAATATGAAGCCACATCCTGAGAAAAACCTGCGTGCGCCTTCCCGTTCTCGGTTTATGTCGTAAAAAGTAGTGTTGCTTAACCTCTCTAATGTTTGTGTCACATCACAACAAACAGGCAATGGTGTTGGTAACCCCGGGTGTTACGACATTAATTGGAGTGACATCATATTCTCAGAATAGACATATGATTTTGGGAATAGACAGCATGATCACCAGATATTGCCAAAGGGAACATTATATTTCCGCATTTTATATAGCGTTTCGCTGTTGTATTGCACACAAGTTCTGACTAATAATGTTTGAAATGATTAGGTACACCTTTCTCTTTTGTTTGACACGTATGGCATTCATTTTAATTAATACTCAAGTTATAGTGAAATGAGATTCTTAAGTTGAATTCTTCAAAAAATATTGAACTGTCTCCTGACCAATATTTTCTCAAAGGGTCAGATATTAAAAAATATTCCGCAGATTTCAGAAAAGGACAGAGTAATAAAATGCATTATTGGTCCCTAATATTTGATTTGTACATGTTGCGATCATCGAGTGGACATGATCAATTGAGACCTTCACTGTGCCCTGATGTGACTCCTTGACTATAGGTCAAAGGTCAAATCTAAAGTCAGATTTGAACTTCTGAGAACTTTTAAAGTCAAATTTGAACTTCTGAAAAGATGTAGATGATTTTGAAAAAAACATTTGGTCAATTTGAAGCAAGTTGAAAACAGACCTTTTTGACCTTTTTTGACCTTGAGAAGGTCATTAAAGGTCAAATGTCAAATATAAAGTCAGATTTGAATTTCTGAGAACATGTAGATGATTTTGAAAAAAAATTAGTCAATTTGAAGCAAGTTGAAAAAAGACCTTTTTGACCTTTTTTGACCTTGAGAAGGTCATTGAAGGTCAAATGTCAAATCTAAAGTCAAATCTAAAGTCATATTTGAATTTCTGAGAACATGTAGATGATTTTGAAAAAAAATTTAGTCAATTTGAAGCAAGATGAAAAAAGACCTTTTTGACCTTTTTTGACATTGAGAAGGTCATTGAAGGTCAAATGTCAAATCTAAAGTCAGATTTGAATTTCTGAGAACATGTAGATGATTTTGAAAAAAAAATGTAGTCAATTTGAAGCAAGTTGAAAAAAGACCTTTTTGACCTTTTTTGAAAAGGTCATTGAAGGTCAAATGTCAAATCTTAAGTCAAATCTAAAGTCAGATTTGAATTTCTGAGAACACGTAGATGATTTTGAATTTTTTTTTTAGTTTAGTCAATTTGAAGCAAGTTGAAAACAGACCTTTTTGACCTTTTTTGACCTTAAGAAGGTCATTGAAGGTCAAATCTCAAATCTTAAGTCAAATCTTAAGACAGATTTGAATTTCTGAGAACACGTAGATGATTTTGAAAAAAAAATTTAGTCAATTTAGAGCAAGTTGAAAACAGACCTTTTTGACCTTTTTTGACCTTGAGAAGGTCATTGAAGGTCAAATGTCAAATCTAAAGTCAGATTTGAAGGTCAAATGTCAAATCTAAAGTCAGATTTGAATTTCTGAGAACATGTAGATGATTTTGAAAAAGATTTTAGTCAATGTGAAGCAAGTTCAAAAAAGACCTTTTTGACCTTGAGAAGGTCATTGAAGGTCAAATGTCAAATCTAAAGTCAGATTTGAACTTCTGAGAACATGTAGATGATTTGGAAAAAAATTGAAGTCAATCTAAACAGTATTTGTTAAGTTATAGGAAGTTGTAAGAAATTGTTAGACGCCAGACGCCAGACGCCGGACGCCAACCTCCAACCACCAACCGCCGTTGCAAAAAACGGAGACCATAACAATATGTCACCACTTTTGGTGGTGACATAAAAATTATGTTTATTTTAAGATTTGCCAAAAGGGTAATTATACCCACAGTCGACAACATTAGAGACGACTTAGATCTGCCTCTAAGGCACACGGCCTCACTCGCTCGGCAACTCAGAGAAATGTCTTACTTTTGTTTTTCTGCGCACAATTTGTGAGCTTCTACTTCCAGAAATGATCAATGATTTATTTGCGCTAAAATCACCCCTAAATAGTCACCAATGAATACAATTCCTGTAAGATACGTCTTAAGAATGAATTGAAGCATATTTTAAGCCCAAATATGTGTAAATATAGTGATCGTATCAAGTGTGGTTGGCGATCAAAAAATATTTCGAAAAATCAAGACAGGTTTTTTATGAATGTTTTCGATGTTTGAAGTAGAACAGAATTTATTTTTTCACAGAAAGATAGCAACAAGCCCAATGATTCAGAATAACTTGAACACCTCGCGAAAAATAGATGCATGTGAAATATAAGTGTTATACAGTAACCAGAATTCTGATTCTTGTGAATATTTCTCTTACAAATGAAAATCAGAGTGGTAGATATTTTATGTTACATAATTTTTCACGAATGATTACCTGGCTTAACAATCAAATGAATAAAGTTTGAAAACTTCACTTACAGCAAATTTTAGTCCCTTTTGTATATCTCCGCTTAAATTTATATTACTAAGTTCTATTCCACCGCCATCTCTGGAATTCATTCTCACAAATCTCTGCTTCCCTGTGGCCTTATCGACAGTTTGTGCATAGTCAGACATTTTACTACATATTGTTTCTATTGTTTCTGTGATGTGGGTTTCTGATCTGGCCAATGGGACCTGAAATAAGGAACAAGACACAGAGTGAACAGAATCGCACCTTGAATAAAATAGTTTTCAGGATGGCTGCCCTAACATTTACCCAGACTGCCCAAAAACTAACCAGTTCTAAACTTTCATATGTAGAAATATTCCTAAAATTTCAAATGAATCGCTGAAACGGTTTGGCTGGAAACCTGTAGACAAGCCTCGACAAACAAGACTTTAGGATTGAAAATCCAAAAGGGTGGCCTTGACATTTACCAAGAATGCTCAAAAACTGATCAGTTCTAGGCTTTCAGAGGTAGAAATATCCCTCAAAATTCCAGATGAATCCATGGAACGGTTTGGCTGAAAACCTATATACAAGCCTCGACGGACAAGATTTTAGGATGGAAAATCAAAAATGGCCACGTTTACATTTACCCAGAATGTTGAACGAGACAGAGTGAACAGGATCACACCCTTGAATAGAATAGTTTTCAGGACAGAGAATTCAAACTTCACCCATTGGTAAGGACATGTTTGTTTCCTTGTATATCACATATTAAGGTCATCTAAGGTTAATTTTGTTTTTAACATCCAGATGGTCAAATATTAGGAGGGTGAATCAGAACAGAGTGACTGAGTGTATAGATTAAAATAAGTTGATTGTCTAGGTTTATTTGGTAGCAAAAAGCTCTTCAAAGCTCTTCAATGAGAAGGAGTGTAAAGAATAGACTACTTTTGGTGCAAAATATTGAAAGAAAAATGTTGTTCTGTTGTGATTTAAGGACCACAAGCTGTGAAAGGATAAGATTTTCTTGTTCCGGAACTGAACCAAAATTTTTGTTCTGTGTTCCGTTCCGAGAGCGTAATTGCGAGGTTTGGAACACAATAGGGTATCCGTGACACCTCTAGTAATGAGAGCACGCACGGGTCAAGCCAAATCCAAGCTCTTTGGTGCTCAATCGCTGTAGTCAATTGCACAAGTTTGTGACCTTCAACAAATAGAAAATGCACTTCTTGGCTCAGGTTCAGCCTTCTGAGGATCAACATCAAACATGTGATGAAGAGAAGTTGACTGAAAGTTGTGTCATAATGGTGTTACTGGGCCCTACTGGTTTATGAATGCTAATGAATTATCATTTCCTGTGAAAATGGACTGATACATTGAAGTCATGAGAAGACAATTCATCCTGGCATTGGCGCGGAAGCGAGGGGTTGACATGGATACTGTTATCCATTGGAAAGATGAAGCAACATTGCACTGCTCCAATGCTTCACTTGAATACCTCAATGAATGAAGCAACATTGCACTGCTCCAATGCTTCACTTGAATACCTCAATGAATGAAGCAACGTTGCACTGCTCCAATGCTTCACTTGAATACCTCAATGAATGAAGCAACATTGCACTGCTCCAATCCTTCACTTGAATACCTCAATGAATGAAGCAACATTGCACTGCTCCAATGCTTCACTTGAATACCTCAATGAATGAAGCAATATTGCACTGCTCCAATGCTTCACTTGAATACATCCATCATCACTTCCCTGAAGACAAACTCATCTCCCATTGTATGGATCACACCTGATCTGCACAAGACGAAGACATATCCCCAATAAAGGCTTTTGTTGGGGATACTATGCAAACAATCCCCAAACTATGGATGAGCTAAAGAATATTAAAACAGAGATCAGGTCCTTATAACAACATAACAACATAGACAGGGAGATTTCGATGTGTGCAAGGAGCTTGGATTGAGCACATAATAATTGATCAGGGTTAGGGTTAGACATGCTCACATTATGGTGGTATATGATAATAAAATTTACACCACACAAAACTTACATGTCTGTAGGACATATATAAAAATAAATCGCTAACCTGATATAAGTCCTGATTGCCACTAGGATCAACTCTGAAGCTGCCAACCTGTATAGTTTTCTTTGGGTCAACTTTGCTGATGGCATAGTTCATCTCATCAATTACAGCTCGACATGCTGGAACATTTAAGTTGCATCATTTAAGGCAAATTGTACCGATAAAGTGGTTGAAAAATATTTTCTGGGTTTAGAGATAACTGCATGGCTTAAAACCTTCTCTGATAATTCTATTTTCAAAATATGCATGAAGGCCTATTTTAAATTGGCTGTTATGTCCTGAAAAGCCATTGAGGATTGACTTTTCGAGTCGAGAAAATACACATACATTTAACAATACATAAAATATTACAACTTTACAATAGCAGAAGAAATAGTAATAAAGTAAGAAAAACAAAAAGAATACAATACATATGCCATCTTATGAAAGGGGTGGGGGTCAAAACGTTTCTTATGGAAAATCAATTGAAGATTATTTAGATATATTTAAATACACAAATCTACAGCAGAATTTGAATTAAATTTTATGAAAACTCTTTTTGTCCAAATTACATGAGTTAGTTACTAAGTTATTGAGTTAGTTACTCAGTTACATAGGGGTGGGGTCAAAATATTGATGTTCATATTGAGACGAAAGTATTTTGGCAAGGGGGGAGGGTTTTTTTGGGCAATTCGTTGACAAAAAAACATTGATTGGACGGACTGACGGATGGACAGGGGACTTCACTATATCCCTTCGTTTTTTAAGTGACCTAGACTTTCACCTAGAGGGGGGTGGGGGGTTATCTAAAAGAAAGTATGTTCGTCTCCATATGAAGGTCAGACATTGCTTCATAGTTTCAAATGCGTTTAAAATATACTAGTAATAGTGCTAGTTTTACTGATTTTGAAGAAATACTGCATAGACTTTTTTGGCATCGATAAATACCCAAAAAACAACTCTAACTTGACCGCTGGAAGGCACGAAGGGTCGGTCCGTATTAATTGATAAAACAGAGCAACTTATGGAAGCCAAAGCTGCAGAGAACAGATATTCCAAAGATTCCATGCACAAGAATCTTAAAAAAGTCTTGAGAAAGACACTACTCTTTTCCATGCCCTTTTAACATCATATCCAGCTAGACTGACAGCCATTTTAGGCTGCCTAAGATGGTCATACTCACTTTTAAAAGTTACTTCAAAATATGTTTTATTTTCTATCATGCATCTTCATATTTTCACAATTTAACAACAATTAAATGCTCTTTCCAATGGTATATAGTTTGTGTGTGTAACTCTCCTAGTTCATGCTGTGGATGGGGGGGGGGCACACCATTTGACAACCTATACATGAAAATTCCTTAAACTTTTTGACCTTTTGAAAAAAATTGGAAAAATTGAAGCGAGTTAAAATTTGGTTTTAAATTTTAATCCAAATATTCTGTTTGAAAAATCAACTTTTTTGCCCTTTTAAAGGTCACTGAAGGTCAATTAAAGGTCAGATTTGAACTCCTGAGAACTTGTCCTTTTTGTCAAATGTTATCAGGTAAACACCAAAAACTGTAATTCCAAGAGCTTTGAAATCTTCAGACAACATATCTTGCACATATAGCAACTACTAATATTTACTTGAAAGTTCTACTTCAAAAAAGTGTCTGATATTTGGGGAAAATTTGATTTTTCACGTCAAAATCGGCAATTTCTCGGAAACTGGGCGAACCAAACATGTTTTATATTTGTATTGTTATATAGTCAATTTTAACAGGGCCAATAATGCCTTGGCGTAGGCCCTGTACTACTGTATTGTACGACTTATTATTATGAAATAAAGAAAACATGAAAAAAAACTGGGCTAACTTGGGATGTGTCAATGACTAGTCAAATAGGCACTATGGATATACATAAAGTGAGTGTAGATATTACTTAATAGGAATAGCAGTGTTAGCAGTGTATTTGCAATTCAGGTAAAGGGTCATGATTTACATTCATTGTAGCCTAAAGGGTTTACTTCAAGGGTTAAGATAAGCTTCCTGTATAAAAGCATTATGGTGGCTCCAGGTGAGTCAACTGGATCAGTCCATTTTTAAGAAATAATGGGAATTTTTGTCTGTTTACAATGATTCTGTAAACAGTAGAGAGGTTAAGCTACACGTTCAAATGCAAACCGTGAACCTGAACGCGTTCATGCTCAAGTACACATTTAAGAAAATTTACTGTTAAGCTACACGTCTGAAACCATGTCAGTGGATGTGGAGGTATATTATGTGGTGACTGTCATTAAGGATCATGGCTCTATGGTGTAATGATTAGCACTTAGGACTCGTGTCTGTTGGGCCTGGGCTCAAATCCAGTCAGCCAAATACATTTTTTATTTATTTTTGCTTTATTTCATATTCAACCACAATGCAATTACTTTAGTATCACTTTTTATGTCACCACCAAAAAGTGGTGACGTCATGGTCTCCATTTTTTTGACGGCAGTCGGCGGTTGGTGTTTTGTGATCGGCGTCTGTAAATAATTCTTACAACTTCCAATAACTTAACAAATACTGTTTAGACTGACTTCAATTTTTTTCAAAATCACCTACAAGTTTTCTGAAGTTCAAATCTGACTTTATATTTAAGATTTGACCTTCAATGGAAATCTGACCTTAGATTTGAGATTTGAACTTCAATGACCTTCTAAAGGTCAAAAAGGTCAAAATACGTATTTTTTTTCAACTTGCATCAAATTGACCATTGTTTTCAAAATCATCTACAAGTTCTCAAAATTTCAAATCTGGCTATAGTTTTGACCTTTAATGAAATATATATAATATACAATGAAAATGCCTCGTTCGCAAATCAAATGTAGTGATAAGGCAATAGTAGGCCCTGGTTGTCATTTCATTTTGTTTGATTTGATTTGATTTGAAAACTATATTTATTCTGGGTAGCTCTATCAGTACAAAAACTGGTCTTCCTAGAGGCCCAGTAATAATTTACAATTATTTACAATGTGTACAATAAATATAGAAACATACAAATAGATATATAGGACATATAGAACAATTTGATATATATGCATCTTCAAAGTATGCATTTACATGAAACATAGAGAACAACTTATAAGAGAATAACATAAATATAAGGAACAATGTCTTTAAAATGCATTTACATGATTTTCATTTTCTGATCTGATACACTTGTTTATATGCTTTCTTAAAAGAGTTTACAGAATCAGACTCATTGACGGTCTTATCAAGCTTGTTCCAAAGATGTGAACCACTGTATGATATGCTTTTCTTAAATATTTCAAGTTTTGGTTTTGGTACATAAAGTGAATTTTCCACAACTGCTCTAGTGGCATAATTATGGACAGACTTTGTCTCTTTGAAACAGTTTTGAATATATGGGGGAGAGTTATTATTTGTTAAGTATATATACTGAACTTAGCCTCGGGTATTAAACTATATTAAATTATATTTATATTATACGATTACCAAAATGTATTCTTATTTCCTATTAAGGATTGGGGTTTACCAATATAACAAGCAAGGTTATATGTATCAAATATACGCTACTGGGCCATGCCAGAAAATAGCTAAAATCAATCACGTAACAAATGAGCGACATATAAAAGCTCAAGCTTCAAGCGTTGAAGTTTACGTTCATGCTTTGTTGAAAACACGTCTGTTAATTGCACCAATATAATATGATGTAAAAACTTGTAAACTTCACGCTAGCCAACAGAAATCTGACGTCAAATCCGACAAATCTGACATCATTTATCTGTGACCACATTGAAGTTCACGTTCAAGTTTTGTTAAATACGTGTAGCTTAACCTCTCTATTGAGAAAGTGGATTATCCACTGGTGCAAGATCCCAAAATTTCTGAATAAAACGTGAAATTGAATTGTCAAAATAAAGATCTCCCTTTTATAAATATGTGATGTTCTATACTTACTATAATTGTTAGGGTTTACTGAAAAGACCGACCCCACCGACCACCGACCGGTCGGTGTTTTCCACTGGTAGCCTCAAAACAGGGTTTGAAGAAAATGTGTAAAAGACCGACCATATCATGTAAAAGACCGAACTTATTTGTAGCCTTGAAATATTAATAATTTGATTTTGAATGTCAATCGTTGGACTAGGAAACGTTTTTTACCGATTTTGTACCTTGCAACGAATGGCAAGCAAACAAATTGGGCATGACTGTCTCCTCTCGATTAACTGTCCTGCCTTAGGTCCTAACCTATCATTAACCAACCTATCGTTTCTATGGGAATCTATCCTAATTTTTTACTGAAATTTAACAATTTCGAAACAAAAATGATTTGTTATCGTCATAGCCTACTGAATACTGAACACGATATAATGTTACATGCGTTCTCTTATCGGGATTAAAAGTGACTTACCATTTCAGAACACCATTAGAAAGCTTTTTTTGTCATATCAAATGTAGTTTTTACCAGTTGACGTTTAACAACTGAGAAATCAAACATAACGTTACGACATCAACATCGACGATGTTTGTGTGTTTTTGTTATTGCGTTTCATATGAATGAACTTAATGCAATGTAACGTGCAGTTTTTCCAAAGTGAAACATCAACATCGACGATGTTTGTGTGTTTTTGTTATTGCGTTTCATATGAATGAACTTAATGCAATGTTACGTGCGTTTTTTCCAAAGTGACTAACCAGGATGAAATTGGTCTTCTAACAACTGAAACATCACTTAAAAATATGACATTACACACCACGACGATGTAACGTTTTCATCGTGATTTGAAATGATTAATTATACGTTTTTAAATCACGACCTAGTAAAGGTACTATAGTCCACTGGTGATCCACTCGATTACGCTGGTTACAAAAACGGTTCGTTTTGGTAACAAAATGTCGGAACATCCGGAAGGTACGATTTTTCTCGTTTCCTTATTTTACACGTTGCAGGCAGAATTCCCACGACATTTTTTAACACAAACGTGTATCAGTATCATATGTTTAAGAAAGTGTACATATTTGCGAGCAAATAGTTCAGAAGACAACAGAATCGTCGATTTACTTCCTCACTTAAGTTACATAAACGGTTTGGGTTAAAAGTGCAGATCTTAACTATTTTTCGAAAACCGTTTATGTAACTTAAGTGAGGAAGTAAATCAACGATTCTGTTGTCCTCTGAGCTATTTTTTCGCAAACATGTACATTTTCTAAAACATATGATACTGATGCACGTTGTGAGAAAAAACATCGTGGGGATTCTGCCTACAACGCGTGAAATAAGGAAAAAAGAAAAATCGTGCCTTCGACGCTCCGACATTTTGTTACCAAAACGGTTCGTTTTGGTAACCAGCGTAATCGAGTGGATCACCAGTGATAGTCATTGGATTCCCAGTTTTAGTTTTACTTCTAATTTTGCATTTTTTCAGCTTTATGTAAAAGACCGTCAGCCGACCACCGACCACATGTACCCAACTGTGGAGAGTGACTGGTCGGTGGTCGGCGGTCGGTCTTTTCCGTAAACCCTTATTGTTATATATACAGGCAGAGGTATTTACACCACGATTTACGTTCATAGTCGCTTATAGGGTTTACTTTACAAGATGAGTGTAGCTCTTACATTACAATGTTAGGCTGAGATAATGTATTTACCTGAACAATATAATGATTTGTCACGTGCAGCCTCCCCTAATTCGACACAGAGCAGTAAAAATGCCAGCAGCAAATACAGAGGGTGTACTAGCCAATTGATCTCCATTCTTTACCTGAAAAGCAGAGAAGTCACATTATATTTTTGGTAAACATTTGACCATTTAATTATTGCATCAAATCTAGAATCTCTGTAATCTGATGTGATTCAAAATACAATATCGTATTTCAGCTCCCTCAAATATTTCATGGCAACAATAAATATTCATCTTTTAATGATTTGAAGAGGAGACACCATTGGTCCAAAACTCACACTTCTGAAACCAATCATCCTAATCCAGTCTATATGAAGAGACTGCGCCAATTTTGATTTGGTAGTGATAAAGATCACAGTGAGCACTATCAATCTTCATTATTCAGTAAGTGTTATAAGACTGAAAGCGCAGTTACTCTTTTGACTTCCGGTTTGGACTCCAGTTTTTGTTTGGTCATAATCACTGAGTTGGAGTCTCAATACTCTAAGCATTATTCTGATACTTGAAACATGGTCAGAATTCCTTGCAAATCGTAGATATTGAGCTTGAAGCACAAATTTCTAACTTTTTTGGGCCAAAACTCTGCTCATGGACATGGCCTCATATCTATTTAGAGATCGCCAAGAAATGTTAAAACTCTTTTTTTCTGACAAGATACAAAAATAAAAAAGTTGAATAAACATACACAGGCAAATTACATCGGGCCCCATGCAAGCTCGTACATGTCTCGAGAATTACGAGTCATTCCGGGCAAAAAGGAGCACATTCCTCTTACGGGCTTGTATGGAGCTCGTTTTCGAGACCCATATGAGCTCGTATGATGCTCAGAATTGTTCTTTTCGAGGCCTGTACGAGCATGTACGAGGCTCGTAATTTCGAGGCCCATACAACGTCTGTTATTGGACTCTTTAACAGCACAAAAAATTTATTTATAGTATGTCATGCTACATCATTCGCGTATCTATCTATACATGTTTTGTCATTTGAAACATTTGTCATACATTCGATGACAATTATATTTATCTACATCACATTTCAACTAATACCAGCATAGCACGCAAATGTTTTTATATGCAATTACTTCACTAGTGGAGAAATATGGTGTTTCCCATTGCCAACCCTGTTTATTTTGTTTCCTAGCTTTTAAACTGTTTACCATGATGTTGATACAGACATGCAAATATTTTAAAATTATCAAAGACATATTAATCCATAATTAGATATAATTGAAATGTAATTTCTCAAGTATGCTGTATTTTATTTCATCGATCAAAAAGTGTTCATCAAAATAAACGAGCAATTACGAGCCCCAAACACTGGCAAGTACAGTGCTTGAAAATTTCAAGCCATTACAGCATCGCACAGGCAAGTACAAGGCTCGAAAATTCTGAGCTATTACAGGCCTCGTAACAGGCAATACATGGTTGTTCAGATAGATTTACAGTACTTGCATATTCCTTCATAGTTCATTCAGTGTATGTTATTGTTCAAGCACAATTACTGTGTGAGGAAAGGAAGTAAATCATAATCAAGGATTAAGGCCAAGAGTAATAACAATTTGTTTACTAGACATATAATACTTTAGCATAGAGGTGATACTGTTTAGTGATAATTTTGCTTTCGACTTATGTTAAAAATTCCCTTAAACTTGAATATGCATCAGTTTTAGTGGTTCACCGTTCACATTACCTTATTGTATCTGATAGTTGTACAAATTAAAATATGTCCAGTAAAAGAAAATATCATCTGCCCAACACAAGAAAAGATATTTCACTTTTTGTGGTTTTACAACATGGGGTCTATGGGGAATCTCCCCGACCTAAAAGTCACATTTTCAAAGAAAATTAAATTTTCAAAGTTGATAAATTCTTTTCAAAACCACATTTCTAAATGTAATTTTACATGTAGATTCCAAATATGACATCAGTTTGAATGAATTGTGAATTTTTAATAACGTAAATTAAGATTATTTCTACTCGCATCTGGGATATTGAACTAAGAGTGGCATAATAAGATTATATAATGGTTCATTCTGTATATCGTGCATTTTATACTCTCGTGAGAATATAATACATTCACTCGTTCGCTACGCTCACTTGTGAATTTATCATATACTCACTCGAGTATAAGCACGATATACAGAAAGAACCATTATATAACCTCATATTATCACATATCATATATAATTCATATATCAGATAAAGGTACAAAGTTGTACATCTACTGTCCATATAGCATATAGTATAAATGGAAATCACTAATCTGAGGTTATTAAACTCAGTTGTCATATTCATAAAATACTAGTAATTATCTGTTAAAATGGACGAGGGAGGAGAAAAAGATGATCAGTTTGAGATGTCAATGCAAGACAATAACCAAGATCATATACCATTCGAAAGGAAACCAGATGTGCGAGAAAGACAACCTGACGTGAGAGAAAGACAACCTGATGTTAGAGAAAGACAGCCAGATGCCAGAGGGATGCAGAAACATGGAAACATAATATATATCCAAGATAAAACAAATGTACCAAAATTTGGTGGAAAACCAAAGCAAACCTGAGAGCTTGAAAGGATCTGTTACCCCATGTACCTAAAGGTGCCCCCAAAGGTTTCATTGAATATAACATGGAAATAGTTACTTTTATAAATTATGAACACATCCAAAACAAAATTAGGTCATAGGGATTAAAACTAAGGTCATTCAGTGCATTTAAGTTTGACTATGCAAATCATCCTAAATATCATGTTAAGGGTATGTTAGTTTTCACTTCACTTGACTATTTTAAGTATGTTGACCATTCAATCAATGGATATATCAAAATATCATTAAGGTAGGACACAAAGGGCAACATATTGAAAACACAAATCATAAAACAACCCCTAAAATGTAATATATCTATGAATCTTAATCTTGAATCTCAGCAAAAGTATCACTTCAGTTGGTATGCAGTAGGTTTAACCTAGGATATTCAATTTAGAGGACATATTACACATCATTATCAAAGGTGGGACACAAAGCTTAATAGTGTGGTATGGTGATGACACCTCTACAGTACAGTCTAAGCAATTTAAAGTGGAAGTTGCTACAGTGAAACCTCAAGAACAAGATCAAATGTCAGAGTTGTTGAAGTCTCAAAAGGAGATGCTGTCATTATTACAATCCCAACAAAAAAACTGAAGAGCCATGTAGATTAAATGAAGAGTCAACAGGATCAAATACAAAAATGGAAGAAAAGTTGAGACAAGTGGAGGTGATAAAAGGTAGAAAATGCTGTAATTGTGGGAAATTTGGATACATCTCAAGATATTGTTACAGCAAGAAGAGGCATGATAAAGCTAAGTGAGAAAAGCCAAGTAAATGCAACAAACTCAGTAACCTGTGATCCTGAAAATTTAATAGGTAGCTGCCCCCAAGTTATGCCCCAACTTGAAAAAATACATACCAGTATAGTATAGTATAGTATTTATTTCATATATTTAAGGCCTTAGGGGCGGGGTCAAAATATCAATGTTCATATGGAGACAAAAGTAATTTCGTTTGGACAACAACCCCCCCACCCCCCCTCTAGACGAAAGCTTAGGTCACTTCATAAAACATTGATTAATAATCGTATCCTATTTGCCGGGTTATTATTACGGTGAATTAACTCACGTTCGCAATTTAACTGCATTGAACTCTTCAAAAGGAGGAGGGAAAAGTACGGAATTTATTTGAAAAATGATCGAATTATCGTCTTTATCTACCAATATTTTGGACCTATCACACAAAAAAGCTCACGAACTATTGAAAACAAGCCTTTTTATCAGAACATAGCGCCAGAAAAAGTGGGTAAGTCCAATTATTTTTTGTATATCAGATCCGAATTATCGATGTTTTTTGGTCAACGAAAGTGCCCAAAAACCCCCTCCCCCCCTCGCGAAAGTACTTTCGTCTCCATATGAACATCGATATTTTGACCCCGCCCCTTAGGGCCATATACATTTTACTTAGTATACAATATACACATTGCTCTATGGTTGCGACAGGATGAGCAAAGCAAAAAACATAGAATTGGTAAAACTATTCCCATCTCACCTCGAAACCATTAGTAATCAAAGATAGAATAATATATGTCCTATTGAACAGCCCCTTTTTAGTCACACACATACACAGGAAGTGTTTTATATTGTATCTTTGATCTATTTGTATTATTTATATCATATCATACATGGCTAGTAATGCCAGTATGGCACAGCCATTGAAATAAATTTATAAAAAAAAACAACAAACCAACAAATGATAAATATTTTTAATAAAAAGAAAAATCTGGATAACCTGTGCGCAATTTGCATTACAGATAGATTAAACACAAACAAATGCGATAAATCAATTGAGTCACCGCTGAATATTGAAACAGAATCATCAAAAACTGTGATCTAAACAAAGTGCAGACAGGAAGACATAGTCATAATTGACAAAATAGCCCAACCTTGTGAGTTCAAAAATAGTCAAAATATTAAAAGGGAAGTCAGTAAGTATCAGTCTCAGATTGACATTTAATATTTCTATAGTCTAAACAGAGGGGGGTTGCTACACATTGTAGGAACTCTGAGGACGCAGACCTACTCAAGAACAACCTCAACAATAAGGCCTTTGGCGGTGAAGCACACGTCCATGACATGACTCCCCTACCGAGAGCTACGTTATCTACAGATGCAGTTAAAAAGGTCATAGAGGAGAACACTAAGGCAGAAGTGGATTTTTAACAGCTACACTACAAGGATACAGGTAAACCTTTGCCTATAGTAAAGATAACTTGTAAAAGTCACTCTGACCTAAATAGCTTATAGCTCAAATGCAAAATTTCTGTGCCTGGAATCAATTGGCAAATTCTACCCTTTAGAAAGGCAACTTGCAAGCCTGTACGCTGCTTCAACTGTCAAATTTTTGGGCACACAGCAAATTTATGCACAGCAAAAAGCAGATGCTCAAAATGTTCTGAGCCACATGAAGAAAGGCTCATTTGTGCAAACAAACCTAACTTAGTATTAATTGTGGGGAAGCACATGAACCAGGTAGTTCACTCTGTAGAACTTATA